AGTGGCAGACTGAAATGAAAAGATTGGGTTAGTGAGTATCGTGCCGGAGCTCAGAGAGAATGAATTTAGCTGTTTTTGTTTGAGTTCAAGAAATTGCATTAAAATGAGCAAAGAGGCTGTGCACCGGAGGCTGCTTCCGCTGCAGGCATCTGCTTGCAAAACTGTTGCAGAGCGATTCCTGCTGCTGCTGCAAAGCTGGTGGGGAGAGCAGAGCTGTGGCACAGGCCAGGAGACCTGTGTGGAGCTGGAGCTGAAGGGCTTGGCTCGCTTGATTGCTTTGGCAGCTCATCTGTACTTGGAAACAGGTGTGGGCATTGCTTCCATCTGTTAGCAGTGGTCACTGGTGTCTTGGTGAGTGCAGTGAGCTGCGTTTCCTTGCAAGCTGAGGAGCCGTGCTCTGCCCCAAGTCCCTGCTGCTGGGAGGTGGCACACAGGCAACTGTAAGGTCCCCAGCATGAATGTTAGATATGTAACTTGATGGCTCTTGTCTCCTGCCTCACATGAGCTCTGTGGTTACACCAAGCTGCAGCTGACTTCTGAAGCTCTTCTCGGTAAAAATTGACCTGAATTGATCTGTTGTGGTTTGTTTATTTATTTATTTTTTTTTTAAACTAAGATGCATTTCTGCAGAGTTGAAAGCTTGAGCTTTATAATAAAGTCCATTATTTGCTTAAGGATGCTTTGGGATATTTTGGGGCTGTGCATGTGGTCTGCATGGTAGCAGTTATCAGAAAAACTGGGAACAGTTGGAGATGAGTAGCTGGTTAATTGATTTTAATGTCATGGAAACTCAATTTGAGTAACTTGGTGCTTTTTCTGGTTGGGGGGAAAAAAGAGGTGCATTAAGTGGAGGGGCAGCTTTGGGTATTTCTGTGAAAGGTGTGTAAAGGAGTCTTGAATGTGAGTTTTTTGAACTGTGCTTGTCTGTTCGTGTCGAGAGTTGGTGGTTTCAGTGGGAACATACAGCAACCATCGAAGGCAAGGCTTGCCTGGGGGCCCTGGGGCAGAATCCTGTGTGACTAATGTTGTGTAACTCAGAAAAACAAGGCAGGATTAGCTCTGCCTCCTTCCCCTCTGTAAGGAGCTGGTGGTGGGGAGCTCTGTCAGACTGCTGCTGGGATGCTTGGATGGGACCTCTGGGCAAACTGATGTATCGGCTCCCTCCACTTGGTGCAGCTTTGTGGCGTGTACGTTTTAGGTGTGAACTGTGCCTCTTGCTAGTTTCAGAGGTGAGGTGACTGGCTGTTGTGTGAAGGCTTGTGCTGGCAGCCCCTTTGATGGGTTGCACCTGTGCAACTGCTGCAAGTCCTGCATCCAACACCTGTGCCAGAGGAGAAGCAGGGTGGGGGGGGCTCGAGCTTCCTGGGGCTGGGGACAAGCCAGCCTGTGGGGACCATGTGGGGCTGTGTTGTGCTCCTCCCTCCACGTTCCTGGTGCTGCTGAAGTTGGTCATGTGCTGGGATGAAGTTCTGGCTTAGAGTTTGAGCCTGTGCTCCTATTTTTCCATAATTATTTTCCAGGGTTACTCTGCAAGGAATTGGAAAATCCCTTCTATGGGCTGCCGTGACAGCCATAGAAATATGCAGATGGATTTGAACTTGGTGCTGCAAAGGGCTTTGCGTATTTATTTTCAGCTTCCTGCTGTCTGCTTTGCTTAAGAGCTTTTGCTAGATTCTTTGCATGTGCTTGTCTTTGCTCCTCTGCTCCTGGAAACCATTTGAGAACACACTTCAGCTATGACAAAACACACTCCCCCCTCAAAAAAAAAAAAAATAAAATCCCCAAACCTCTTGGAGGAATTTTGTTTTACTGCTATGCCTTGGTAAGCTGCAAGGCTTGCATAGCTGTGGTGTATTGCTGTTTGGGTGCATCAGCCTAGTTTGGAGACCTCAGAGAGTAAATCACCAGGCTGTTTTGGATGGGTCTTTAGAAAAGTGAGTGACTGAGCCGGCTCAGTAGTGAATGGAGCTGTTAAACTGATTTTACTTGACTTAGCCCTGTGCAAAGACAAATATATGATGGATTGAAGCCTCATATAGGTTTCCATATGTACCACTGTGCCATCTTTCTGAGGTCATGCTTCTCATCAGCTTTAGCTGATCTCATGTTGCTGTCCTGCCGGAAATTCTTCCCCTTTATTTTCTTATTTTTGGGACAGCTTCCAATTGGATCAAGCAGATAATGGTTGCTACCTCTACTGTAGAGATGAGTGGGATGTGTAGAAGCGGGGGGAGGGAAAAGGCAGGACTGTCTGTTGTTACAGTTGAGGGTAGTTTCAGATCAGGTGAACTGATGTGCATATTGGAGTGGGCTGAAGAGCAGCTGTGTAGCCCCTGGTAGAACATGTCCTGCTTCTACTCCAGTTTCCTTCCATGTAAAAGGGTGGTATGGATTGCCAAGTACATTAACATTTCTGGGAGGCTACAGTGTTGGAAGAGTCCTTTGTGGGGCACTGCTGACTGGTGGTTTTGTGTATATGCTGCAAGAGTTTGGCTTCCCAGCTGACCCAGCAGAGGTTTCCCTCTGGGAGGGCTTTGAGCACAGCTTTTAAATAAAGCTTCCTGCTCAGTGTATCAAGCAGAATATTAGATTGAACGTAAGGGAGAAGTTTTCCATGATGAGGGTGGTGAGGCACTGGAACAGGTTGCCCCCAGAAATTGTGGTTGTCCCATCTTTGTTGTCACTCAGTATCATTCAGTCCTCCGCTGCCTTGCTTCATAAGCTTTTTGTAAACTCTGGTGAATCTTTGTTTGCTGCATTAGATGAAACAAAAAGTTATCATGTTTCTGCACCATTATTTCAGTCTGCAACAAGCAAGGAATTGTCTTGGCCAAGGATAGAGAGGGTCTGCTGGGGTGGTGACACTGAGAAATACATGTATTGATGGACAGGTTGGAGCTGCGGGAAGGCAGCAGAGGAGCTTAGCTGTCATGGGTGTGCCGTCCATGCTCTGCATGCATTGCCTGGAGCCTGCTTGTGTCTTGGGGAGGAGCAGTCCTGGGACAAGTGACAAGGCACTGAGAGAAGGAAGTTTGGGAACCAATGGGGAGGCTGAGCAGTCTGATTCCCTGGCACTCCACTGTGTTTCCAGTGTATTTGTCTGCTGTGGGACAAAGCTTTGTCTGAGAGTTGCAGTTGCTTTGGGAAGGCAAGCCAAGCCACCTTCATATGGCTCTGATTAAATCCAGCAGCACTTAAGAAAGCTTCAGGCATCTCTTTTTGCCTTGCTTGGCAGTACTGGAAAGTGAGGACTTAGAACTTTGCCAGTGATGTTTCTGCAGTGTTGTCTTAGAGTAAGGGTCACATTGAGAAAGTTGTTAAATTGAAAAGGAACTGGAGGAGAGAGGGAGAAAAGGTTGTGTCTGTATGGGAGTCATGTTGATACTACCCATGTGCTGAGCCCTGGTGCAGGTATGGGTCAATACCCATGTGTGGTACCCAGTGCAGATGAAGTCCTACAAAGCTAAAGCAGCCCTCATTCAGATTTAAGCCATGTGAAGTTAAGTATTTCCTTGCTTTCCATACCTTTATACATAAGCGAACACTGAAGGTTATTGGCCAGGTTGGATTTGTCCTGTTACTTCTGTCCTTGTAGAGCTGCTAAACAGTGTTCATTTACTGGCTTCACAAGATCAACAGAAGACCCTCCTGGTGGTACAAAATAGGAGTAGATAACTCTTGTATTTTCGTTAATGTAGAGCAACAGGGTGATGGAAAGATTTGTGATTGAGGCTGGAGTCCAAAGTCTGTACTGTGGTCTTGTGGCTTTCAGCATTGTTTTCATCCTTAGAAATGCCTTCAGCCCTTCCATAATGGGAAAGGGGGAAATGAGTGAGGGGGAGCCACAAATGAATTATACTTTTTCTCAGTTCTTTAAATACCAGCTGGCAGTAACAGGTCTCTGAATCACCTGCAGAGACTGGGGAAAGCAGGCAAGTCTCTCTCAGTCCAAGGTAAACTGATGTGCTGCATGACTAAGTTTTCTCACAGTACATAATAAGGTCCAGTTGGCAGGAAGTACATGAGACATTGTCAGGCTGATTCTGTACCTTTCTCTTGCTGGTTTGGTGTTTTGATTAGAGATGTTGTCTCACTGTTTCCTTACATCCCTCAGCTTCTAGATGCTCTCTGCATTACAGAGATCCTCTCTCACCCACCATGTTCCTTGCTGTCCCCAAACAATTTATTGCATTGCACAGCAATTGCATGAACAGCATGGGAAAAGTCAAATTACATTAGATGTGGTGACCTTTGCTTCAGTTGTATCATCATAAAAACTTCTCTTTGTGGCTGCTTAGAATTGTTTCCAGTAAAACATTTTTGCTATCTTTTCTTTGATATGCAGCAGGCACTTCAAAAGCCTGAAGTGAGGTGTTTTTGCAGCCCTCAGAGGTGACTTCTGTCATAGCTCTTGCTCAGTGCTGGTTAAATGTTTTCTCTGTGACTAAGGTACAAAAGGTTTATACAGCCATCAGTGGAAAATATAAAGCCTTTTTTATTATGAAACTATAATGATGAATCAATAATGATAATGAAAAAATGGAAGTGGCCTGGCTCTGATATCATGTTGGATTTGCTTCCTCTGCAAACTAGAAGAAATTCTACAGGTGCTGTGGAGCAGATCTTCAGCAGCATCTCAGGGGGCACGGTAGGGGCATTGTAGGTGATCCCTTCCATCCCATTTGCCAGCCTCTTTTCTGCCCCTGCACATAGACGTTATCTTCAGTGCACTGGGTTGTTGAGGAGGCTTTACTGGATGAACAGCATTGGCTTGGGACTCGTCATCTCGCCTTCTACTTTGGCTTCCTTCTGTGATTTTGGAGAAATCCCCTGACAGCCTGATGCTGCATACCTCTGCTATGATGCCAGGGCTAGACAGGAGTGTTCAGGACAGGGATCTAACACCTTCCCAGTTCTCACGAGATTGCTTTGGCATCCTTCCTTTTCACCAGCCAGCTCTTATTAGTGTCACTAATTACTATTCTCTCTAATGCTTTCAGGATTTGCCAGTTCCTGTATGCCGATGGGAATCGTGTTCTGGCTCCTTGTCAGTGCTATAGGAGAAGCTGATGCTCTGAACAGGTATGTTTGTCATGTTCCTGTGGAAGGGAAGCGGGGCTGCATGTGGCCAGGGGTGAAATGTGCGCAGGGTTTGGCTGATGGGTGTGGAATGGATCCTGTGGTGCAGACTGCTCTACAGTGAATAGTTTTTTTTCCTGTCCAGAGGTTTTGTGAAAACACCCAGGCAGAAGATAAGGTTTGCATTTAGCCTTGCTGACAGCCCTCTGATGGGAGGGCTGGAAAACAGCATTGCTGCAGAGCAGCTCCTGGGAGGCCATGCTCCTTCCTAACACTGGCACTGCCTTTTCCTTCCCGGAGCACCAGCTGGGGAATCCCGGCCGAGCTCGCGGCTGCGCAGGCGGCTGCTGCGCCCTCCTGCTCAGCTGGCCTTTGGCAGCTCCCCCGTGGCGTGCATCCGCCTGCGTCCTGAGCGGGGTGGGAGGGAGCTGTGTTGGTATCCAACCATGAACAAATCTGCTGTTGTTTCCTTAATGTATGGCAAGAACAGCCTGTAGCAGCTTATTCCTCCCTGGATAATTACTGCTCTGCTCTGCCCCTGATTGCTCTCAGGAGCAGTGGAGTAGTGCCTCCCCTGTGCTGCCCCGTGCATCCTTTTGCCTGAGTTATTTGGTTTGTTATTGCTTTAAGGCATCAGTGCTCAAATGAAAAATCTAATCAGTGCTCTTGGCAACTGTTTGACATTCTAAGTGCATTGCCTAAGTCGGTTGAAGTCCCCGAGATGCCAAATATGCTTTTAGTGATGCCCCTTGCTATGCTACCAGCAGGTCTGCTTGCATCTTGATTTCAATTTCTGGATTACTTTTAGGACAGGAAAATATAGGGCTGGGTTGCAGTCTACTATTGTATTATCTGGAATTGTGTTCCCAGCTGATCAGAGGTGTGTGTGCAGCTGGAATTGGAGTGGAATATTTTTCCACCTGTGGTTGCTTAGGGGAGGTCTGAAAAGCAGGTGGATGATCCTGCTGTGGGAGTGTTAATGGACAAGGAGGATTGGCCTGGCACGCTGAGCTTGAACCTTCAGCTTGCCGTAGGAGCAAAAGAAGCTCCTGCAAACATCCATCCCTCATGAATCTCATCTAAATGGCATTGCCTTGCATTTAGCTTGCCTGATGGCCCATTTGACTGTATAAGGATATAACTATAACTTGCTGCATAAAGCTTTCTTGATCCTTAAAAAGTGAAATGGATTAATTATGGAAAGAGATCTTCTTGAAAACCTGGTTCATCCAGGACTGTTTGGGTGGAGCTGCAGATGTACTGGAGGAGTAGGAGTCAGGGTGGAGCTGTTTCCACCTAGTTCTCCTGTATTTCCCGGGGTTTATCACAGCATGTAGGCAAATGTGCCCTCCACTTTGGAGCTGAAAGCAGAACTGGTTAGTTGAGCACTGCCTGTGCTTCCCATGCTAGCCTTCTCTTTATGCTTTCCTTTTCTTCAATTAACTTTCTGCTGTTAAAGGCCTCTTCTTAAAGGGAAAACCACAATAGGAAGTGGAACAGCAAAGGTAGGAGTGCCTCCATTTGCTAGCAAGCTGTTGCAGGTGAGTTGAGGGAGCCAGCACTGAGTCAGTGTCCCAGACTCCTGGTGACTCAGGTGGCAAAATTCCAGGTCATTCCCTTCTTGTTCCTGAATTGCAGCATATTTCCTGTAACAAACTCTCACCTTCTGTTAGTGACCATGCAGGGAATGCTGTCCTCTCCCTCCCATGTATGTTATGACCAGCTTGGTTCACTGGGGATGCAGGCAAGTGGTGGTAGTGGCACTTCCTGCCACCACAGGTTGAAATTTGATTTATCTCAGCACCCTCAACCTTACCTCTCTCCTTTTTTTCCCCTCCTTTTTTTTTTGTTAAGATGGGATAAGTCACAGGAGTTGCAGCTGTCTGTTGAGCTTGAGGAGATTCTTATGCAAATCTGGAGGCTGTGTTCTCCTGGCAGATCTGCTTGCATGCATTATCCACTACTTCATTGTACTGGAAGGAGATCTATTTTCTGAAACATGGTTTATTTTTAGTCAAGACTTTCCCAGTCTAACTGGCAAAAGTTCAGCATTTGCAGCGGGATTTGCAGAAGAAGTAATTTTGCCAAATCCTTGGACTGGGGGAAGGGAGAGGAAATGTTATATTAGCTAGCAAAAAAGCTATATGCTGACTTGAAAAACAGCTTAGGACACTGTTGTGAGAGCGTAAGAGTTGGATAGTGCAGGTTGAGAACAGCGTTGTGTTGCTGCAGTGGATAACTCAGTCTGGGTTGCTCTTGCTTTTCCTTTTTACAGCTGCCACAGAGGTTAACCAGCAGTGGGTGGGAAGTGCTGCTCAGGGGCAGGTGGTCAATGAGCCAACCTTTTGGCCTGACCCTGAGCAATGAATTAGCAAAGTCACCATAACCTCAGTGTCCATGGGAAAAGTTCTGTCCCTGCAGCGCATTGCGCTGTCCTGTTGCATCCGTGTTTGGGGCCACTGGAGGCTCACCGAGGGTTGAGTTTTTTGGCGGAATTATCATGCCCATGTTTAAGTACCCTTGTCAGATACCCTGAAATGAATAGGGTGGCACATGGGATGTCCTGGGGCAGTGCTGCAGCTGTCTTCTCTCTTCCCCAGCTGCTGCTCCAGGGACAAACTGTGTTCACATGCCTCACTGCTTTCACCAACTGCTTCTAGCTGCTCTGGGTCTTGTACTGATTTCTCATATGAGCAGCAACCTTTCAGGGGTGCAGGGATATTTTCTTCTTGGTCTTGCATCTCCTCAGACATTTCCATCACTCCTTTTACAGAGTCATCTTTGTTACCTTTAGCTAGTAGTGCTGCAAGCACCAGACATCTGAGAGTGACACCAGAGAGTGGATGACTGTGTTCAAAGCCTTTGGTACTTACTCATCTGAAAAAATGAGAGTTGATTCCACATGTGGGCATGTAAATTATTTGTTTCCTGCTGCGGGTTAACTCCAGCAGTTTGCTTTATCTTTCTTTTTCTCCCTGCCCCAGCCCTCCAAGAGACCATTGCACAGCAACTTTGTCATGGTTCCATTAAGAAAACAAGGAGAAATCCTTCACTTCCAGTTTTTTTCTGAATGTTTGGAAACCAGGAAAAAAGAGAGGAATTTATGTGTATTCTGCATTTGGTCAAAGTGCCAAATATGTATGTTTCCTGCAGGTAACAGACCTGCATCTTTGTGAAAGGATTGGGGATGAAACAAAATTTTAAGTGCTTCTTCAGTCATTGGGGTAGAAGCGCCATGAGAATCAAGGTAGGAGCACTCTCAACTGCCTAGAGCAGTAATCTTCCTGAAGGAATTAATCTAATTTAACCTGATAAAAGAATTTATGCCGTGGGGGAAGTCTCTACCATTTCCTGCCAAGCTTCCTGAGAAGACTAGGAAAAAATAAGTGCTGAAATGACACTCTTCTCTCTGTGGGGGAGGGGGCCTATGTTTTCCTACAGCCTGTTACAATCTTTCTTTAAAACCCATCTATATTAGCAGGAAAATCAGGATTGTTTTAGCCAATCAATTTTCCCTAGTTCCCTGGAGACTTTCTAGTTGCAATCGTATTTGCAAATCCCCTGTCCATGTGGGACACAGATGATCTTATGTGCCCCGGTGTTGATGCAGCAGTTGGCCCCATGCTTGTCATACACCCAGTGGCCTGTGAATGTAGAGACTTCAGAAGTTTGAAGCACTTCCTTAGGGAAGTTTGTGGGTGGCTGGGTTTTGTGGTTTTTCCTTACATTGCTAATTATTTCAGGGAAATTCCTGCCTTATTAGCATTTTCTCCCCTAAAGCAATTCTCTTCCTCTCTGTCTCTTGCCCTCAGAGGCTGGAAGAGCACTGATATGTTAGGAAAGCCAGTCTCTGCTTTAAATGGCCTTAAGCATGTCAATATTCATCTCAATTTCTTCTTAGAGTGCCTTGCTACAAAATGAGCAGGAATCTCAGGGCACCTCTGGGTCAGCTTTTCTTCTGATGCTTAGGAGGGTTTTGTTCCAGACAGGTGAGTTTATGAAGAAGGAGACGTCCACTTTGAGTTTTGAGTACTCTGATAGGAAAATATTTTTTCTATCAGTGAATGCTCATTGACTGCTTAAAGTATGTGGATATATGTTGTAATCTGCTGGCAAAGGCACTAAAAATCACTGTCCTGGGTTGGCCCAAAGGTGCGTGTAAACTACTAATGTCTGAATCAATACCCTGTCTCCAGTGGTGTAACAGGAACTGCTCTGGAAGGAGTTGGATGGAGGCTGGGCAGCCTAATTCAGCCTTCCATCTGCTCTAACTTGACCCTGTGCCTTGCAAATGTGCTGGGTTTTAAGCAGACTGAGAGCTGAACTTGGTTGGCAGCCTCCAGTCCCAGGTGCTGGGACAGGTGAGGAGCTGCTGTGTCTGTGGCTGAATGCTGGAACCCACGTCTGCATGGGAGGGTGCAGCAGTGGGAATTCTGGCAGACTGTGGGTTACTTCAGATTACCATTTTTGAAACCTTGGTTTAGTGCAGGTGAGCAGTTCTGTGGGTATTCCATAGTTTGTGCTTACCCAGCCCTCCCAGCACAACTGTGCCAGTGTCCCTCAGTTTGGTTTCACAAGCAGAGACCTCATGCAGCCCTCATAGAGGGTCAGCATTTGGTGACTGCCTGAATTGCTGCTTATCCCTAAAGGTGCTTCTGCTCTGCTTTGCTCTGTAATTACTTGCCACGTGTCGTGTCCTCCCCAGCAGCTTTCTCTGCAGTTTTTAAAAGAGAAGGAACAGTGGACAGATGGACATCTGGGAGGACTGCTGGTAGTGGGCAGGAGGAGTGGTTTTAGCCCTGGTACTTGAATGCAGCATACTTTCCAGGCAGATCCCACTGTGATTCTTGATGAAGTTTCCCTTTTCTTGGCTGGCTCATTGGAAAACCCTTTTCACTCCAAGTGTTGTTTGGAAAGAGAGACGCCCACACAGATGGCTGCTCTTCAGTTGTCATTCATGTTGGGATTTTTTATGTTCCTTTTTGCATTACCCTCAGGTGAAA